AGTGTTTAATAGACGTAAATACATGAAACACTCTTTGGAAGCAAAACCCGAAGAAACAAACAAATTTAAAAGTGTTCACAATTTTAAATTTTTTGATGAGAATTTCGACAAATTTAATTTGATTGCGCTCAATAGTCAGCTTGTCGAAGAAGAAAAAAATAAGTCAAGTGGTTTGACTGATAATGAAATGGACCTCTCGCCAAATATCTATAGAGGTGCTGATTTATTGAAAGTGAGGAATGAACTTGAGTCACAACTGAGACAAACAAGTTTCACTACATTTGAAGACGTCAAGAAATATTTATTGAAAGGATTGGAAGAAACTGTTCGTGTTCTTCCACTCATCGATTATCAAAATTTCCAAATGAATATTTCTGTTATTCACAGCGAGTCGACACAAGAAGTACTCGACAATATCAGTAAAAGTTTTGATGTTCCTATTATTAATTGTGAAGATGTTGTTTCAAAAAATTCAACTGGTATTGTGGACTCTGGAACTTTATTAAAAACTCCCGCTATTACAAACTGTATTCCGACTCATCCAACAATTCAAACAGGAAATGTGACACGTGTTGATTATAGCCAGGCCACCGACAACGAATCTCAAAATACCAACGATTCGACCAAAGAAGAAATAAAATTCACTGTGTTTGAGATCGAACAATTAGAAAAAATGAAACACATTAAAGAGCTCCTCAGACCAGAGAATAAATACTCCGCTGAGTACATCTCACAAGAAACCAACAAAGAAGTACAAAGGCGACTTGGTAAAAATGTTGATAGTTATTCAACAACAAATGATGCTGGAAATGAAAGAGGCAGCTTTATAACAATGATGGCTGCATTGATGATGGGAGCGTGTGGGTTGACAAATAATCAAATTGATACCATGTCAAAATTGATATCCATAATTTTGCTCATGTCCAATGTTCCTAAAAAAGTTGTTAACACTGCTCTGAGTTCTTCAACCATGCAACGGAGATTTGAGTTGATTTCGAAAAAAACCAGATATGACCTACAACTAATCTTCAAGCAGTGTGACTATTATACACTAATGGCGGATTCAGCAATGTATAGTGGGGTTGAATACTTTTCACTCTTTGTAAGATTCGTGTTTTCAGATGGATCATTTGAAGAAAAGAGAGTCAAAATAGAAAACTATGACGGCAAAACAGATGCTGCGGGGTGGCTCAGTTGGATAATGAAAATATTGGAATTGATGGATGCTGACCTCATTAAATGCATTGGTGCTTGTTTTGATGGAGCTTATGTTCTGATACGAAATGGTGGGCTCTCTGGTAAACTCCTAGCTAAAATAAAAGAGAGAGACGGGCTGAACGGATTTGATTCAAACTACTGCTTTTCACATAGAACAAATAAAGCAACTGAAAAGTGTTTTGAATCGCAATGGGGGCTGGCTATTGAAAGTTTCTTGGACGGGTTAACAGTTCAGACAACAAGAACAGCATGGGATCAATTCTGTGCCAAAAATCATATCAAAGGTGCAGTTCTCAAATTGGTTCAACGATCCGAAACAAGGTGGCTCCAAACAGTATTAATTCTTGATAATATGTTTGAGAATCTGCCTTCACTTCAAGAATTTTACAGTGAAAGAGAACAATGCCAAAAGCCTTTTGGACCTCGCAACATTATGGGTGAGTGTAATGTCAACTGCAAATTGTTTGTTGCATGTATGTTCTTCACTCAAATAGTGCTCAGTAAGGTGAAGATAATTAATGATTGGCTACAGACCGCCAATTTACTATACCCCGTGGCCTATCAAC